TTAGTCGTGGAAGAAAATTTCGGTGTTTTTAATGAAATTTTATTATTATTTTCCCAAATTTGGCGGGAAATTGGCTAAAATTCGTGAATTCACGAAAATGGTAAAAGTTGCGCGAAAGTTGCGCGAAAGTTGCGCTGACGGCAAAAGTTGCGCGCGCAACTTGCGGGTTGCGGGCGCGAATTTCTCTGAGGACAGGTTTGTTCCCATCTTTTTACATTCTCCCTATTCGTCTTATTTTCATTGGAGTTCTTGACATTAAATTTTATAAAACCTTTTCTTCGTTGTTATTATTTGTTCCATGGCAAAAGCTTACGATAGTTCCAACAAATGTTTGGTTATGTTGATTATAATTAATAATCTGGGAGCTGAAGCATTACCGTACATAGATGATTACTGATTGAGTGATAAAAAACTAACTGGCAAATGAATTACAGCAGGTATCAAGATCTAAATCTATTATTGAATAGGTATAATAATCAAAATAATATTTTTAAAAATACACTTTGCATAAATCAGGGTTTTCGTGGGAAGAACAATTTACTTAATGCGTAACTCATACTACCCTCTTCTAAGATTCTAAGGCTTGATTACTTGTAGGAGCGGCAAATATAAACGATTTGTCTTTTATTTTTTAAAATAAAAGATGAAGAATTTTTTATATCTGATTCACCTAAATGCTTTGTAAAAAAAATCATTACGTGAAAATTATGTTAATAATCCACAAAACGAAGCCGGTTTTTTGAGTTAGGCAATTCGTATTCCCATCCTTTGCTCAAATATCATAGCTACATCTAGACTTTAGAATGCATTATAATACATGTAATTAACTAGTAGGAACGTAACATTGTAAGCTTAGGTTCAACTTACCATTTTCTAGATATGCATTATTTGCTGAGTAGTTTGTTCTCTTCTCCGAGACATTGACGTCAAATTATGTGGGCAAACGCTGAAGTGACGGTGGAAGTCGGTTGAGCATGATGTTTCGGTTAGCCTTTTGCATTTTGAAGCACAAGAATGCCTAACTCAAATATATGAGTATGAGTTATGCATATCATTTTAGTGCAACTAATTCACTATTTTTCTTTTTTTGGAAAAAATATTTTAATTCAAACGTTGAAATGGGTCATGGGAAGGCACGTGAACACAAAGAATGCAAAGGGCCTAACTCTGAGCTAGGCCCTTTGCTTATGAGCGTGACGTAATAGCAGCAGCAGCAGCAGCAGTAGTAGTAGTGGTAGTAGTAGTAGTAGTTAGTAGTAGTAGTAGTAGTAGTAGTAGTTAGTAGTAGTAGTAGTTGTAGTAGTAGAAGCAGTAGCAGCAGCAGTAGTAGTAGCAGCAGCAGCAGCCGCAACAGCAGCAGTAGTAGTAGTAGTAGTAGCAGCAGCAGCAGTAGTAGTAGTAGTAGTAGTAGTAGTAGTAGTAGTAGTAGTAGTAGTAGCAGCAGCAGTAGTAGTAGTAGTAGTAGTAGTAGTAGTAGTAGTAGTAGTAGTAGTAGTAGTAGTAGTAGTAGTAGTAGTAGTAGTAGTAGTAGTAGTAGTAGTAGTAGCAGCAGCAGCAGCAGTAGCGGGGACAGCAATTAGCTCAAATGCGCTTAACACTTATTAAAATGATACCAGCAGACCCTAGAACACTCAGATGAAACATTTTCAGCTTCCCGGGAGCATGCAGTGCAAGCAGCTGATTATGCGCTCAGAGATTAACAAACTGATAAGACACCCATTCTCACCTAGGTGAAGTAAAGACATTTTGTGTAAATTGCATTTCCCAAGCACACAAAGAAGGGCCCCCAAAGGCGATTCAAACCCACAACCTTATAATACACGTACATTGTAGTTGCAAGCCCGAAAGCCTACCACGAGGCTAACGACGCACTATGATTAGGGCTAATACTGCCTCGAGAATTGTATCTTTGATGCTACATGCCCTGACCAGTCGAGACCAGGAGTGTAGGCCTGCATGCCATTTAACTTGTATATATTATAAAAGGTGTAGCAATTAGGGTTTTCATCTGTCATGCAAATGATGAGGGTTCAATATCCGCATGCAGAATATCTTAGGGTATAATATTGTATCCCAGGAAGTCTGGGCTCGCTCAGATAGAAAGGGTAGAAAGCACATACCACCTGGTCCTATGTGATCAAAATTGTGTTGATGGGGACGTATAACATTCACGTAGCCTACACAGATAGATAGATAGCTCACAGTCAGTCACACACACACACACTCAGGGTACGTATACAAGGTGGACATGATTCACCATCATCATCATAAAATGCGATAATGTTGAACCAAAGAGTAGTACAGTGTGTAGAGAACCTTTGGTTGAATCCCCGGTCGCCCGTTGCAACACTGTGTAAAGCTACTTAAGAGGGTGGGACCTCCAAACTCAGCGTCCATTTCTGATAGGACCACAAATCAATGCATGAGAAGAAAGGAAGTAAGAAAGGTTTTGAAAATGGGTATTCCAATGTAAAGTGCATTGAGCTACTTTTTTGGGAACTGCGCTACATAAATGTTATATTATTATTATAATTATTATTACGCCAAATAGGAGAATCCGTGGGGTGTGCCTTTCCAATGAACACATCGTTGGACTGAGAAGAGCCTCAAACCTATCCGAGCCCGGGTCCATAAGATTGCAAGTCCGTTATTCTAATACGGGGGTGCCCATTTCACGGTTGGGATCGGTGGGTCGGGCCGATCGCCCGACTCGGTCACCTGAAAACAATCGCCCGACTCGTCACCTTAAAAACAAAATGCGTTTGTTATCAGGCGGCGAGTGGGCCGATCGCCCCCAACCCAGCCCGACCCGGTCCCACCCCTAATGGGCACCCTGGATAACCTCTAAACTATCGACGGCACTCTTTTCATCATCATGTCTCAGATCTGAAACAGACTTCGACAATCATGGTTCTCATTCATTTCTCCGTTCGCATGTTCTAAATAAGTATATTGTTATTATTATTATTATTATTATTAGTGTCATTGTTGTTGTTATTATTATTATTATCGTTATTATTATAATAATAATTATTATTATTATCCCAGCGTGTTAGTGGTCCCCGTTGCCCATCTGTTCAGATCAGCTAAAGTAGATAACAGTAATACATTGATTAGTTCGGACTTCAAGTATCCAATTTTTTTACAGCAGTTCTGAATATAGATCTTAGCTCTCCAAAATGACTTATACTGTGTCAACGTTGACTTACTTAATTATAGATTTGAATAAATTATCATAATCAAAGCCTTGAAGCCTCCACTCATAACATGGTGGGGACATTAACATAGTAATTGAAATCACAAAAGGATCAAGCTTAAATAGTTTTGTTTTGTTGGTTTTTGTAAAGTGTTTTACGGCGCTCGCAACTGCATAAGGTCATATGAGCGCACGGGACACACCTAATATTTTCAGTTGGTAGGAAATTTTGAATTTTGCCCGGGTGGCGGCCGAAGCCTACTCTTATCGATTTTAGACCACCAAGGGATCTTTAACGTGCGCAACTTGCACACGGGACCTCCGAGATTTTTCGCCCTTGTCCGAGACGGCTAGGTGTAGATCTTTCCTATCAGAAGATCAGGGGTGTGGCAGAAAGACAGCAGTAAGGAGGAGCCAAGGAGTAGCAGTAGAAAGGCTGCAGAAAGAGTCAGGAGCCCAGAGGAGAGGGCAAAGGAGGTGAGGGGGTGGGGGCAGAAAGTGGAAATGAAAGCAGACAACAGAACATTGCAAGAGAGCAGGAAAGGAGGTGAAAGGAGACAATTTTAGAGAAGAAAATTTTTTGGTCGCTACCCGGATTCGAACCCGGGACCTTTGAATGAGAAGCCAACACCTTAACCTCTAGGCCACGAGAGCCCCCCAAATAGAGTTTTACGGCACTTGCAACACAAATAGGTCATACAAGTGCGAAGATTAGAGATGTTAGATCTAGTGTTACTAGAGCATTACATACAAAAGAAAAGGAGGAGAGATTTATAAGGATGAAATATGTTTGCATTGACAGGAAAGAAGCTGACAAATAAATAAAGTCAAACTGGCACACAAACATTTCGAATTATAATTGGTGATCAAGACAAGTGGTTTAAGGCCAGGTACAGAAAATTACCTATGACTTTGATGTTCCTACGGACTGTATGCTGTGAGCAAAAACATCATCACAGTTTTTGTTACTTGGACTGAAAATGGGAACTGCTAAACATGCATTTCTTATGCCTTTGAAATGTTTGTTTTAGTTTTATGTCAGAAAACAACAGCTGGAAAGTAATACTATTTGAATCAATTGATCAATCAAAATGCTAAACTCGTTATTCCGACTGCTCAGTTTAGTATAATACTGTCATATGTCACTTTTCCCAATGGTCTATGGAGGAGTCTTACTAACTAATCTGTCAATACATACACTTATTGTTTTGAAATTGAAAGCACAAGCAACAGAAATATGTGAACGGATACACCCAGATTCCAGATCATATTTTGAAAAACCGCGAGGATTACTTGCTTCTGTGAAGTAACAGTTACGCTTTTCATCATTCCTTTAAAATGGAAGAAGTGAGCTCAATTCCTCAAAGGCGTCCCCCCCCCCCCCTCCCAATAACTCTGCTTGTCTGCAAGGAAGTGGTTTCCTGCTCAGTGCGGGTGAGTCCTAACTAAAAGCCCCCCTTCATAACGATCTAAAATGAGTTGGACATTTTTGTAGTTTAGTTTTAGTAAGAGTTTTTCAGCACTTGCAACACAAATTAGTACATATAAGTGTTGAAGATTTGAGGTGTTACTATAGAGTAACATATATAGAAAAGAAGTAGGATAGATAATAGATATTTGATAGAAAAGAAAGAGCAAATCACGCTAGAACACCCACCAACCAAACACTGTGTTGAAGAGGGTGTAAAACACTTAAAACCCATCTACAAAGCACCCAGATTGTAAATTGCCAGTTGCTGATAGGGATATTCAACATAAGGAAGTAATATTAAATAAATGTAAGAAAACATTCCGGCACTTACTATTTACAAATCATTTTATTTGTCAACAACATTATCGGCATGTATACCCTTATCAAATGCTTCTGAATAAGAATTTCATTTCATGATAACAATTACCAGCACTTTCAAGAATGGTCCTTTTAAAATATTTTAAATTCCCAAAACAATAGCAAACACAAGGTTAACAGGATTTCAGGAACTCCCCTCTACACGGTCTCTACAAAAAGAAACAAAAAAACCCAAAACAACAACAACCGCTCTAAAGTCTCAGCAATTTAAACCCCCTCCCCCCCCCCTGTCAACAAGCACTAAAGATACAAGTCTCCAGAAGTGTATAAATTTCTCAAGAATACTCATTAAATGCCAAAAGCTTTGATCCTCCTTTACAACCATAAAATGAAAGTATCTTCATTTTGAAAAATACAGAGGAAAAAAGGAAACACATTTTTTAACAAGGTGTAAGCGCTTGAACATAAACCACAACTAGTCTAAATGACTAGACAGAAAAACAAAACTATCAAACCAATAATCAATTATCATCGAAAGTTTTTTTCACCAATACATTCACATACCCGGTTTTTTTCCCCACCTCACTATTGTTCTTTCTGCATTAAGAAGAAAACTGTCTTTAGAATGGTTCAAGAGCAGAGGAAGTTTTTTTTTTCACACACAGGTATTTGTTACCTCTGAAAACATTGCACAGTACAAACAAAAAAATCTACTGGGGCCGTTTTTTTTTCACCGACACAAAAAACAACAAGCGATATGCTAGGAAGAAAAACCTCCACATATGTCTTATGATGTGCATCCCAAGAAATGTGTAAGTCTGTAATAGTGCGATGATTCCATGGACAATAAAATAGGACAAAAAGTCATCGTCACTGCCTTTCTCATCCTGAATCAGGGTGCAGGACACTGAAAGACCCTTTCCCCCTGGATTTTTTTTATCCACAAGAGAAAGTAGTTCTCCACAATATTTCCAGGTAGAAAGACATTATAAAGAGAAACATGTTCCTTTCAAATTCTATGATAATACAAACAAGTGCACATCCTACTAATAGAGACAGCAAAAAATAGGATGCTCAACAACCTCATCCCATTCTAAAATTAAAAATGCACAGAATCAAAGGCAAACACTACCTCCCTTCTCCACAAATCTCCAATACAATTGAGAAAAAAGATAAAAAGCCACAACCCGTAACGGCAAGCCAACTTTCAATGTCAAAACGAGCCAGCCAGTACAAAAAGACCAACTGAGAACCAGTTCAAGTAAATTCACCAGCACAGGTATCTTCAGTGAAAGCAAGCTCCTTTAACTCCTAGTACATGGCAGGCTATTTCTCCTCTGTACCCAGCCTATTTTGTCTTTAAAATTTTCAGCATCACAAACTTACCAGTAGCACCACTCCTGTTTAACCTATTTCCATAGAATGAACACCAAACTGAGTAGATCTGAATGACTGGAGCATAAAACATATAGACTGTTTTTTGATAACAACAACTGACTGGAGTTTGGTATAATTTGTTACAATTGTTGTAAATAACCGAGCGATGATGCGAACTGGCTAAACTGGCATGCCACATACTAAGAGTTAATTCCTCTCTATTTAAGTAGCTTTTTATCAGCAGAGTATCCTTCCAGAAATGAAAGTCTTGTTGTGTGTGTCCAGCATCAGTCGCTTGTGAAAGCCTGCAGACCAGTGATAGCTCTTCCAAGGATCAGGGCGTGAATGTCATGCGTACCTACACAAAACAACAACAAAAAAACAACCCAACTTCATTTACTTCACAAAAGCATTGTTCATAGTACATTGTAACAAGATAAATTTGAGTAAAGTGAAGCATACTGATTCAATAACTTACAGGAATAGTCATTTAGTGCAGGGAAAAATTACGACAGTGACAGACAGACAAACAGAAAGAACAGCGGGAAAGAAAAGTAGGCCTACCAATGACAACCTGCTCACACATACACACACACACACACACAAACACACACACACACACACACACACACACACACACACACACACACACACACACATACAAAAATTCAGATACTCCACAGAAGCACTGGTCATGGTAACAGGGTAAGTGTGAGTACAGAAAAGCACATTGATACATTAACGGTCATTTAGCGAAGGGAAAAGGTATGGCAGACAAACAGCAAGACCACAGAGAAAGAAAAGTAGGACCACAAGTGGCACCCTACGACCTACTGCTCAGCAAAGTATATAAAATTATAAATGAAAACCTTGAAAGAAAATGAAGCAAACTTATTAGGCATTATAATAGATCAAAAAGAAAAAAAAGACATGGCGAAGCAGAAAACAATAATTCAAATATGTTGAAACATCACAACTCTTCATTTTTGTTTTGCAGGGTGTTTAGAAATTTTATACCCTCAAAATTACAACAAGAATACCAATTCTCAACTTGCAACTTTCGTTACTGTAATTTTGAATCCAGAGCCACAAACGAGCTGTGCACTCATGTCAATCATGAAAACTGAAAAATCTCCTCACACTTGAAACGAAAAGTACCGAAACTTACCACCCTCAAATAAGAAAAATCTTCAATGAAAGAAAATCTTCAAGAAAAAAGTACAAATGAATTCGTCTCCCTTGATTATAAGAAAAAGAAAAAGAAAAGTAACAGAGTGTATTATATCACATGTACATTAGAATATTAAATCTACAATGCAACAATTTTTAAATTTTGCATTGTCTTTTTTTCAACGATTTGTTTAACATCACTGTCAACCTAGTTTAGTCAGAGAAATTTTGGGTTATTCATTGCATGAGTCTTGTATTACAGTACAACTGCCATCTCCCTCTCCCCCCCTTACCTGAACCCACCCACCAACACTGTCCCAGTTTGTTTACCTTCGTAAGTGTTGACAGCCTCCAAATTCATCACATGCCTGATCACGTGATATTCATCTGAGACTCCGTTCCCTCCCAGGATATCTCTGGCACTGCGGGCGATGTCTAGAGACTTCCCACAGTTGTTCCTCTTCAGGACAGAGATCATTTCGGGTGTCGCCCTGGACGTACAATGAGAAGGGGATATTTTCATGAAGAATGTATCAACGACTTACGCAATTTACTCATTATACTCCTTTCTCTCTCTCTCTCTCACAATCTCTCTCTTTGCCTCCATCATTCTCCATCTTTCTTTCTCTCTCACTCCACCCCTTCTCTATCTTTATCTTACAATCATTCACTCCCCATCTCTCTCTTTCTTTTTCTGGCTCAACAGGTGTATGGTACACCCCCAAAAATACATCAAAAAGTTAACAACAAGTACAACTCACATTCCCTCATCCTTGAGACGTCCGACCTGCAAGCAGCCAAACAAGCCAAGAGAGATTTCTGTCAGCATGTCTGCAAACTTTTTCTGAATTAGTTGTGTCTTGGCCAGAGGTTTGCCAAACTGAATTCTGAGAACGAAACATCAAGATGAAAATAGTACATATCCATAATTGTATCAGTTTGTCTGTTTGAGTAGAAATTATAAGCATATTGACGAAATAATGATCACTTTGTGCTGGGAAAAAGTAAGATAGATACAGAAATAATAGAGGAAAAGAAAAAAGTGGAACCTACCAGAACCAGCTTCCAACCCCCCTGTGCTGTTGTCAAAAAGCAACGGTTTTTTCCAAACATTGCCCTCGTGTTTGAGCCCATTGCCTGAACTTACTTCACATGCTTTGTGGGTAGGGCCTGCAAGGCCAAATCAGAAGGGAGTACTTTGTTTCCCTGATCATTGCAGTTGTCTTTCATCTCTACACCCGAACTTCATTATAATTGGTGTGGTAACAACGCAATGGAGCGTTATGTCACGAGAGGAGAACTAGGTCAGAGATGGAAAGCTATAAGTTATGGACAGGATCAACGTAGATCTGTTTTGAGAGTCGCAACCAGATATGCGAAAATGGCACGACTCCAGCCATAGTGACTGGTCTTCAAGGTTAACCACTTTTTACTCGCAATAAACCCACCAAGGGGTCATGTCAGTATATCTTAAAGTAAAGGAAGATTATTTTACTGATTGCGGGTCTGACCATGATGCCAAATGAATTTGTCCCATGTTGAATCGATTAAGACCCTTTTTACCTTAGATCTGACATATAAACGTATTCTGAGCACTCACCTGTCTAGGGAGTATTGCCTGGCAGTTTCCAAGCAGAACTCAGCAGCTCCAAGACTCCCCCATGCGATACCGAAGCGAGCGTTGTTGAGACAACCAAAAGGGCCCTGATCAATGACAAACACAAAATTGAAAAAATTGAAAAAATTCCTCCAAAATACACAGCTACTTGTTCAAGATAATCACTCGCACAAACACCTACTTCCCACAAAAAATTATTATGATGGCATTGTCCAGGGCTGTCCACCTGTCGAAAAACAAACGCTTTTCTTTTCATGTCAATGGATGACCATCTTGGACAGTCACTATTGTAAACTGGAGGAAATAAAATGTCTATTATATAAATATTCAAAGCTGAAATAACTTAATGACAAACCACTTCCACCTTTTGCGTCAAACCCACTCTCTGAAAGGGAGCCGGCAAACGAATGCAACAAACACTAAGGACAATAAGTGAACTTTTTTATTTTCTAAGATTGTCTTTTCAGAGTTACAGGGAAAAACCCCCCATTTAATTTCACAGGTCATTCTTGAGCAAATTTACTCACAACTACAATTCCAAATAATAATCTAAATGCAGGTGTTTATATGCCACCACTGCAAACTACATCAGAACACCCACCAACCACCCATGGACAAAGGGTCCACATTTTTAGACAAGCTGAATTTTCCACAAAATGTCTCACCATCAAGAAGTCAGATAAGACTGGAACATTTTGATAGCCTTATGCCGTGTCCATTGTAATTGTATGTGGTTTGTTGAAATTTGTCAGCACACAAAACAAAACAAAACTACAAACAACTCTCTTCTGATTTAAATGATGAGAGAAGACACTAAACTTAGCCCTCACAACAGTTTTAGAATAAAAAAAAAAAGAATCAACCTTATATTTTTCAAGTCTCACATTTAGACCACAACATAATCAATTTCTTACCGCTAATCCTTGAACATTCGGCAACAAGTTCTCCTCCGGAATCTCCACATCCTCCATGACAATAGACCCTGTGACGCTCGCTCTCAGCGAAAACTTCCCCTCTATTTTGGGACAAGACAAACCCTTGGTTCCCTTTTCGATGAGGAAACCTCGGATCCGGTTGTTGTCTACATCTGACTTGGCCCAAACAACGACTAGGTCAGCGATGGGCGAGTTGGTGATCCTGAAAAGATAGCGGTAATGGCATAATTAGATGCAAGTTTTCCACCAACATTGACAATGTTTACAAAATTTCGGAGGTAGACTGCTTTGAACTTTACTGTCAGAGCTAACCAGATCAGGTGTGAGTGGAATACTATATCCCAGCAGAGAGATGGAAATACTTGACAAAATATCTTTGCAACAAGGGAATTCTTCTCCTCCTTCCTGTTTGATGACCAAAATTAGATTGCCTCTACCTTAAAACTAATGGGGGGGTGAGGGAGAACATTGTAATGAATTGTGCAGTTTTGTTTTGTTTTGTGTGCTGACAAATTTCAACAAACCACATACAATTACAATGGACACGGCATAAGGCTATCAAAATGTTCCAGTCTTATCTGACTTCTTGATGGTGAGACATTTTGTGGAAAATTCAGCTTACAATGATCTAGCACAAATTTGATCCAATCTTATCAGTTTACAGAATGTATACTCAATCAAACAAGAACGCTTACCAAGTCTTGGCTCCGTTCAGTGTGTAGGTCTTTTTATCAGCATTGTATTTGGCATTGGTCTCCATACCACTTGGGTTGCTGCCGTGGTTCGGCTCTGTCAGGCCAAAAGCCCCAATCAGCTCTCCTCGTGCTGAAAAAAACCGAAAACAATCCAAACAACCAAAGTTAACTCCATTGTGCCAGTATTAACTCTATGAAAGGTTTTAGTGGCTGTAAATTCAGGACATCAAACTGACATCTCTTGAAAGAATCACACTGTATGTTTTCTTTTCTGTAAGATATTCTCATGGTCCTAATATAATTGCATAAAAGTCAGTTTTGTAGCTCTGAGAAAATTTCTTTTTTACAGTGCTGACCTACACTAACTTATGACTTTAGAAAAGGGGAAAATGTCTCAATAACTGGAAATATAGTACACAAATCAAAATCCTACTATGCTGAGGATACTATATACAAGTAATAGACATTTTTATCACACCAATACTGGAAATCTAAAAAAGGCCGTTGTTTTATGACCATAAAAATATCTTGAAAAATGGATACTGCAAATTTGTACAATGAAAAGCCTTCAACATCTTCACAGCATTAGACTGCAGGTTTGTATAATGAATGGTGTTTTAAATCTTGAAGGCATGAGTCTACAGGTTCATAAAATAAAAAGTCCATATCTTACCTAACTTGGGAATGTATTTCTGTTTCTGCTCTTCCGTTCCATAAGCAAATATCGGCCACATGACCAAACTGGACTGGACACTCATAGCAGACCTGTACGCACTGTCCACTCTGAAAACATTGTAGATTATGTTTAGTTTTAGTTTTAGTAGAGATTTTACGGCGTTCGCAACTGCATAAGGTCATAGGAGCGCCAGAAGATTAGAGGTGTTACAAGAGAGTAACAAACATAAAAAAGAAAAAGGGGAGATTAGGATGACAGATGTTCGATAGGAAAGAAGAAGCAAACCACACCACAGCACCCGCCAACCACCCATGTAGATAATGTACCAGGTATATAAATGTTTGCCATAAATAGAAACATTGTATGTCTATGACATACAAAAAACCCCAGTGGCATCTTCAAACAACATTTTAAAAACCACAGGAGAAAAGGGAGGCACACTCTGTCTGAACAATGGAAAAAAGGAAACTTACTTAAGCCAATATTAAAATTTAAAAAATCTGCCCTGTGTAGTTTGAGACTGTGCAAAGAGAAGATTATCAACACTAAAACTGTCATTTAAAGCTTGGGAGCAGCAAAACTGTCAGACAGAAATAAGAAAGGGTACATTAAAAAGTAGGACCAACCAGTAGCACCCTATGACCATCCGTCAGTCTGATTTTCTCTTGAAAGAAAATAAGAGCTTTTAAAATGTAAATATAAAATATGTTTCCATCTTTCTTACTCACCTTTCAAGCTCTCTTGTGATGAGACCGTAGCCCACAGAGGAAAGCCCAGCACAGCCGTAGCCTGTGATGGTTGGGCCTAGAACTCCCAACTCTCCCATCTCACGCATTATGTTCAGGTCAAACTCTGAGGAGTTTAGTTTTTCCGTTTTAGGAAGAGTTTTACAGCATTTGTAGCACCATTATGTCATATAAGTGCTGAAGATTAGAGGTGTTACTATAGAATAATATACAGAGAAAAGGAGGAGGAGAGATAAAGAGATAAGATGTCTGACAGGAAAGAAAGAGTTAACCACACCAGAACACCCGCCAACCATCGTAACTCTACGGAGTAAAAATATAAAAAGTTATTAATTGTAAAGTTTTACACCCACAAGGCCAAGGTATAAATCATTTACAAGGTACGCTGCTTTGACCTTGCTTTTCAAGGTCAATTTAAGTTTACTGGATTTGAACTCACGCATTCGTCTGCGAGAACAAAGACTAAACAGTTTCACCAAAGGCATTGGTAACATTGAAATAAAAAAGGAATGCTTCAGAAAAGTGTAAAAGTGCAACGGTCCAAGTTAAAACAGAATGAGAAGCTTTCACAAATGAAAGGAAAAGCCTTTATTCATTTCAGAGGAAAACTTGGCTCACAATGGCGAAAGAGAAGAAGTAGTTGACAAAGTAAAAAAAGAAAACTTCCCCACTCAAGAATTGACCTCACATCATCTGTGTGAGATGGGGAAGAGGTTAACTGTTACATCACAGATGCTGGTAAGTCTGTTACAGAAATGTAAGATATATAGAGATATTCATATGAAGGATGATAGCCCAATCTCTATCTAGAAACCTTCGTCCCTCAAAAATAACTAGGGCCTACTAACTAAAACCGAGTTCTTAAAGGGGGTTAAAAGTTTGAGTTTGTTGTTTGTTCATTTGAGTAAAGCGTTGTAGTGTTAAGAAAAAAATTGACAGACAGACAGGAATGACAGAGATAAAATAAAGAAGCAGGAGGACCTATTAGTGGCATAAAATTTAAGCAAACTCTAAAAAAAAAACGCAACTCAATGAACTTACTTTCATGCCTGTTGCCTTCCAGAATCCTGGGCATAAGCTTGTCTTGGCAGTAGGCTCGAAATTGATCTCTGACAATGATCTCCTCTTCTGTGAGGCAACTCTCCAGGTTGAAGGCATCTCTCCAGTCAAACACAGCTGCCAAACAGATACGGGGGAGGGTTATGGTGGGTAAATAATTCCTCACAAATGAATATTTTATTAATATAGATCATATTAAATAAAATACCGTATCTGCCAGAATTGGTCTCATTGGCTCTGACAGAACCCACAAATGATTATAAACCTTATTTCTTCCAATTCTCTTTAAGAAATATTCTCCTCGTCAGACATGGATGGACAAACTACTATAAATAATATAGGCCCTATATTTAATTATTATGATTATAATATAAGCACACGCACATATACAGTGGAGTCCACTTATAATGAGTCCTGAAAAAATGAGAAGTCTGTTATAAAAACACTATTCCAAAACCCCCTTTTTCCCCCTTCTTTATCTTTGTAAATAAAATACTGCTACAGTGCAATCAGACAAACATGTGAGTCGGTTATAACGGAATATTGCTTCTGCTGTGCACAGCGCATATAGGCCAGTTATACATAAAACCTCGCCAGTTGAGAATTTTGTTGGTTATCTAACGAAACCAATGACCTTACAACTCCTTGAGCGAAACAAAGAATGAGAGAGCCCACGGGTGCCAACAATGAAGGCTGGAGGGTATGGCATGCGCAGACAAGCAGAACGCATCGCGTGATAGGCCAGCCTAATCTAGATTATCTAGGCCTACAATGCCTCTCCCTTCTCTGATGCGGGGATGGAAATCACAGTGCTGTGATGGATGGAGCGAATGTGTGACGTGCGCAAGCAGACAGAACGCACTACACGGAGTTGTGTGGTGGGATGGGGAACAACACAGCGGGTGAGTTAGCCTAGAGCCCTTTCTTTCTGAACGCCAACGCCAAGCTGTCAACATCGCTAGAAAAAGAAACCTGATTCAATTTTTGATTAATAAAATTAAGACCAAGAACAAAATCATCATCAGGGGAGATAACAAAGAGAAATATACAGAACACCAAACTCATAAAGTAGGCCTACTTCATTATTTCCCTTGAATTTATTACTGAATCCCTTATAACTAGAATCCTGCTATACTATAAGGGACATTATGCACTAGTCCCCTCCCTCTCGTTTTAACAGGATTCCACTGTAAAAACATGCAAGTAAATTGTGGAGTTATTTCTTCTGAAACATAACGTTATAATTATGCTTCTGTGTGAGTGTGTGTGTGTGTGTGTGTGTGCGTGTGTGTGTGTGTGTGTGTGTGTGTGTGTGTGTGTGTTTGTATGAGAGCGCGTATGTGTGTGAGAGCCTGAGTGTGCATTTGGGGGGAGGGGGGCAAGATGAAGCAACAAGAGGGGGACAGAGAGAAAGAGACTTGTTAGTGCAAATTGCTGTTAGTGCAGAAAGTCTATATATATTTATTTTCCAAATCATATATATGTATTTATAAGTACATAAGATGCAACTTGGTATATTATAGATGTCAAAAAACTTACGTGCGTTTTTTCCTTTTGGCTTGTCTTCCTGCTGGGACTCTATTGCATTTAGTAAAGGAAAACAAAAGTTTGTGGACAGAAATTTTCCTTTAGTTACATCTCAGTAAAGAGGAGTAGGGCCTACATAGACAAAATAGATAGATAGTTGTCAAGGAAAAGTAAGACAGACAGAAGCAATAGAAGGAAATTCAAAATAAAGTAGGACCTACATGTGGCACCTTCCAACCAATTGTTCAATTTTTTTTCAAAGGACTTTGGATCATCATCTCTTGCCAGTTACACCAGTAAAAAGTAAAGTTGTTCCTGCATCCAATCCGGACATTGGGGATTGCCTTGTTAGCGAGACAACTTCCTGGGCCTTCGGCATACCAGTACTAGAAGCTTTTGCTTGATCTCAAATACACAACAAAATGTGATTCTCATGAGAAAATCAAAATACTCTTTTCAAATCTGTAAACTTCGGCCAAAATCTTGAGGAGTCCACTCACTGTCACTTTGAGAAGAGAAACCTCATAATATATTTTACCAATGAAGTAAAAATGATCTGACCTTTCAAGTTTGCTGCCTCACATGGCATAAGGTGCAGACACACTGGATTCTATTTCTGTTGCGCTTTCACCTTAATGAACCCGCCGTTCGTCACCTGAGAAAACGAGAACGGCTCTATGTTTCAATATCAGCACTACACTACGTCATGTTTTCCGTCCAGTTTCAATACAGAGATGAGCTTGACTTTCTGTCGAGAATAAACCACTAAAGGCTACACTAAAATTTTCCGTTTCCTTTCCGGCAGAAAGTGAAAGCAGAGTCCTTACATTGCATTACATGATTTTTATGCAATCAAGATGGAAGCACCCATTGCTGTGGTGGAAAAACGGCAAGCTCTGTATGACAAAACAGAAGACAATTATTCCAATTAATAGAATTATAAACAAGCGATGGAAAGAAATTTGCGATGAGCTGGCAATTGATGATTTCACTCTTTAAACCCCATCGGACACTGGGATGTTTTAGTATAGGTTTTACGGCCCTCGCAACTGCATAAGGTCATATGACTCATGAGCGCCAAGGGGTGGATGTCAATAGAGAAGTCCTTACAGGGAATCAGACTTACTCTGCTCACCTCTCCAGCTTCAACAGCAAAAAGTCTGCTTCGACTATCAAGGCACCCCGGAAATAGTGGGTCACGAGATTGTGACAAACATACAAAAGTAGAGGAAAATGACAATAGTAAGGATTAAGAAAGAAAAAGCAGCAGTTCCCTGTTGCAGATCAGGCACAGCTATGAGCGTGACATTGATGAATCAGCCCATTTATAATTCTACTGTGCATGAACGAGAAATTCTTATGCCCCCCCTTTTGGAATGGTCTAAAGACACTTCAATCAGTGGCACCGCCCCGGGGGTGGACGCTGGGAGCTCCGGTGGTAATAACCCAGTTTCTCATCGGACACAGGGAGCGTCTGATACTAGTGACAACTGTTTCGTTTTATTTATTGCTAGCTTTTGCTTGCTTTTCGAAATATTCTTGAACCAAGTTTTTTTGGGTAAAATATTTGTTTCCACCATTTAGAAGTTGGAGGCAATCTTTTGAGGTTATAAATGAGACATAGTGCACCAGGTTTAGATGGCTATCTATAGAAAAAACTCCAGGAAACGGTGGAAAAAACTCAGGGATTAAAAAGAGTCAAGTAACATTAAATATCAATTATTAAAAACTGAACATCTTTATCAAAGGATCTCTTTCTCTCTCCCTTGCTACATAATATTTCGTTTATTTTACCCTTGCACAAAATCAGCAACAAACAGAAAAGAAAGCTTTTGTAAACGAAAAAACAAACCAACAAAACAATACAAAAAAAAACCTTTTTACAGCAACCCACCCCCCTTTTTAAAAAGAAAACAAAAACCCTTTTGAATTAGCCTTACAGCAGTCTAAAGTCAGAGATCAGCCCTGGTTTCGACCTCAGAAGAGAATGATAATTTGCTTTTTTCATTTTGATCAGTCCTGCCTAAGACGGCCACATGTATATTACCACTTTTCTCCTTGACATGGGGGAGGCCATTTTACACAGAGGTTTGACTGTATTTAATTTCATAAAGCCGTTTGTTTTAGTAGAGGTTTTACGGCGCTCGCAACTGCATTAAGTCATAAGAGCGCCAGAAGATTAGAGGTGTCACAAGAGAGCAACAAACATAAAAAAGAAGAAGGGGAGAAAAAGATGATAGTTGTTTGATAGGAAAGAAGAAGCATAAAGCGTGTCTGAAACAAACCGAATACAAAACGAATAGCATCCGGTTTATTTTCATCAAGCTTTTTATGTCTGGGATGTAAGAACTAAAGAAGCGAAACTGAAATTATAGCATCCAGTGTGTCTTCACTTTGCTTTAGCTATAGTCTTTCATACTACTTCATCAGTTCAAATCTCTTTTAAAAATATAAATAAAATAGGGCCTACTACAAAAACCCAGTTTCAGAGAGAGAGAGAGAGAG